GGCTCGAACGGCTGCTGGAGAGTTGCTCGGCAATTGCCTTCTTCGAGGGAGGAGATCAAAGCCTGTTTCCGCTTCTTCCGAAGCGGAATCACGCCAACCTAACACTCCCTCTTAGGCGCTGCTGCCTGCTTGTCCCCCCCCCTCGCTGGGGAGCGATGCGTTGGGCTAGAAACTGCCCAAACTGTCGAAAGCGGCCGTCGTCCACTTCACACAAAAGTGAAAGTGCGTCAGTCCTCCATCTTAGCTCGACCGGAAGCCACCAACAGAGGTTTATTCAAGGTATGAGCTTTCGTGTGCCTTGCATAGGAAAGCTCATACCTTAAATAAACTTTTGTTGGTCTTAAAGGTGCCACTGGACTCTAGATTTTTTCTACTGCTTCCGGCTGACCATCTGGATTGCGTTTCCAAGTTACTTCCTTTGGTAAGGTCAAGATTGGTGTCTGGAGGACAGGAACAGAGTTGATCTTTATTATCCGATCAGTAGTGTGCTGGCACAGGTGGACAGACCTACAGTACCCCTTTTGGTTTATCTGGCTTTGGTTAGCACTTTGCATTTAGGTTTTAGGGTTTTTTCGGAGGTGCTGATGGAGATCATGACTGCAATCATGACATCTCTTTCTGTAAACCAGCAGGGTTTAAAATTTCATCATCCTTGAAAATACCAAGACCCATGAGTAAAAGGTCTGGGTGGAGATATCCAGACACCATGCATGTAATGGCTGGTGAGGAACGGGGTGTGTGTGTGTGTCTTCCAGCAAAGGTATTTCTTTGCCCTGTCAAAAGTCTGGTCAGTGGGGCTATATCCTGCCACCTTTTCCACTGGTACAAGTCAGTGGTGGAGGCTTTTGATAACCAAGGGACATGGGACCCACGTGGTCTTGGCTACTATAGTGAGGAGAGCAACTGGGCAAGATTTGAGCAGCAAAGCCAGCAGGATGCAACCCAGTGTCTGTCTTTTGCTTACAGCTATTCCAGGGAATCAGCATCCAGGCAGGACCACGGGGGCTTCTGAGGCTCTGGCTCTTGCTCTGAGAGCCAGGCAAGAAGCTGAATGGGAAACAGATGAAGAAGACTTTCGGTCATGAAAGCGCAGAAGCAAAATGCACCAAGAAGCACTTTGGGGACAGCACTTGGCGATTTGCACAACCAAATGGGGGGGGATGGAGAGTCTGTGTAAGAACTGGCATAACTCTGAACATGGGCTGATGAAGACGGGATTGAAAAGCAAGGATTTTGCTTCAAAAATCAAACTTTCCCCACTGGTTGCAGTTTAATTTATTATGATTTTTGAGAACGCAGTGCAATATATTGAGAGACTGAAACCCTTTTGCTGATTTCCACCCATCCTTTTCTAAGTCCAGGATTGCTCACGTGCTGGAAGAAGCATGGAGACTGACCGTGTTTTTTCATGGCGCACTGGATCAGTGTCGCCTCTTCCTGACGAGAATTTTGTGGACATCTGTGATAACTTTCTCCCTGAACGACTGAATTTTCTGATCACAGTATTTTTTATGGTAATTATACATGAATTTAAAAAACCCTCTTGTGGTATTATGTCACAATTTGGAAATATAAATCACATTTCATGTTTCTTTCTTCATCTCTTTCAAACTTATATTTTTTCGGGAAATCACTGAAGATATCCCTCGCAGCACAGAGCTGTTTTGTTGGTGTGACTTGAGAGCGGCCATAGTTACTTGATCCCCCCCCCCCCCCCGCGT